GTCTCAAAACAAAACAAATGTCTTACCAAACATATTAACCCACAAGGTTCATACACAGATTATGAATGTGTGACAGGAATGTGCTGAAGAGATTAATTTTCAAACTGATAAGAACACACACTTCACAAAAAGCTAAGAAGTGATAGGTGAGGTTAATTTTTAAAATATCTGCTGATATTTGTAACTTTTACGTTGATATTCTAGGCTAAAATCTATCTCTCTCCAAATTCACTGTTGCAGTCTTCTGGCTGTATTGTGACAGTCTCTAATGAGGTGCCTCAATTCAAATGAAGTCTTTGAGGCTGGTACTGCTCCAGTGTAGCGCTTCCTCAAGAAGAGGTCAGCAGGACACAGACACATACGGAGGGAAGACACGTGAAGACATACAGACAATTTGGCCACCCAGGAGAGGCCTCAGAAGAGACCAAGGCTGCAGACATTCTGATCTCATAGCCTCTACAATGTGAGAAATAATTTTCTGTTATTTAAAAAACCCAGCCTGCAAAAACTTTGTTAATGGCACCCAAGCAACATAACCGGTAACTGAACTGGTAACATGTAAAATTTATACCCTCCAAAATCAGTAAAGGTATCTTCATTTTGCAAAATCAAAAGAATACTAATTAGGGCTGGGGATATAGCTCAGTGGTACAGCGTCTGCCTGGCAAGTACAAGGTCATGAGTTCAATTCTCAGTACCAAACAAACAAACAAAACCTTACAAAACTACACACACACAAAGCATACTAACCAAATGAAACCCACAAAAATCAACCTTACAAAATGTAGTTGATTTTATTATAGCGCCTCCTATCACTGTCTGAACACTAGGGAGTGAAGCCATGGTCTTCTGCATGCTAGGCAAACATTCTACCACTGACACACATCCTTAACAGTCAACTGAAATACTTCATTTCTAGCTCCTTCACTCAGGGAAGGTTTACAGTCTATCTCTCTTTTTCTTTTTTCTGGTACTGGGATCGAACTCACGACCGCCTGCTTGCAAGGCAGGTGCTTATGCCACTGAGCTAAATACCCAGCCCCTCTTTTTTTCTTGAGATGGGTCTTACTATGTAGTTCAGGCTGGCCTCGAATTTACTGCGTAGCCTAAGTAGCCCTTGACCTCACAATGATCCTCCTGCCTTAGCCTCCCAAGTGCTGCGATTACAGGTGTGTACCACCACCCCTGGCACTCATTTCTTTCTTAATAATACTATTTTATTTCAAATACCATTTGACAGCCAAGGTGACACTTATCATTTTGATTACTGTTAATAAATGTATTCAATTATAATACAACAGTATGTCTAACCTGTGAGTTTTGCCTTCCTGTTTTAGATACGTTCATTCATGTTATGAAAACACTAAATGGAAAATTGCAGACATAAACAAGTTTTAAATTGCACACCAAAAATAAATAAGTAAATTGCATACCATTGTTAGTGTGATGGAATCTCACACCATCCTACAGTGTCCCTTGACGCCATGAAGTATCTCTTTGTCCAGCTCTTCCATGCTGTATGCCCTAACTGCACTACAGTCACATAGCAGCTGTCTTTGTTATCAGATCACCTGTTGCCTGTGCTCAAGGAGCCCATATCCACTTCAGTGCTGCCAGACCTGAGCCATTCACTTCATTGTGTTCCATCAGGAAGGCACTACATCATCACAATGATGGCATTCACAAAAAGCTTACTTGTAACCGTGCTATTTTATCATCTTTATTATTAATCTCTTATAGTGTCTAATTTATAAATTAATCATAGATATGTATAGAAAAAACAGCATATATATGGGTTAGTATCACATGTGGTTTCAGACATTGGTTAGGAGTCTTGGAAAGTATCCCCACAAGGATAAGGGAGACCTTTGTCTATGGTGGTCATTTTGTTTTGTTATTTTGCTGTTACTGAGGATTGAACTACCACATCCTAAGCCCTTTTTATTTTCTGTTTTTGAGATGGGGTCTTGCTAAGTGGTTAAATTGCCCAGGCCGCCTCCAACTCTAACCCTTGGGCCTCAGCCACCCAGAGTGCTGGGACTACAGGCATGTGCCACTGTTCCCAGCTTCTATATGGTTTTCACAGTTGTTGTGTTTGCCTAATGAATTAGGGCTAATCAGAACAATCTGAGGTCTCTGAGATTCCACAGTTTTACTTGATCTAAGGGCTCTCAAATCTTTTCATTCATTTCCATAGAAAACAGATTACTGCTTAGCTGCGCACAGGATCTCATGCCGTTTCAGTAACATCCCCAGTCTCTCCTATTATAGGAAGCATATTAGAATGGCAATGGATATTATGATGTCAGCTACCTAGGGATTAATTTAATTTTTAAAAGGTGAATCATCAGAAAACTCTTATTGCCAAATAGCTTGTGTCACTTTACAAGTGACCCTAACGAACTGTACATCTAAAGTAATGAACTCTGTTAGTGTATTGAAAAGATATGTGAATGGGTAAGAACCCAGGCCACTCTTGTGATAAAGATCTTTTCTATCCCACTCTCCAGGTTAATAGGGAAACAGTTTAAGTATGTGACTTTTTATGGAGAAACAGGAGTAGCTCTGGAGTTATTCTTTTCACTTAAGCCTAGTACAGGCAGAGATTTTTCTAAAAGAAATGCCAATAAGTAAGTGGTAGCTGGTATAGTGCAAAGGCATGGGCTTTTACGTTCCACCAAAACTAGGTTCTTGGCTTTTCGAACTTGAGGAATTTTAAAGTTCAGTTTGAAGGGCTGTTATACATTACAACATTTATTGACCACCTAGTACATGCAATATGCTTAACAGGTTACAAATCTCAATTCAGAAGATCTCCTCATTCATGAATTATGATGCAATTTAATTTGTTCAAGCTCAGAATGCTCAGTATTTACTATGTGACACACTGTTACAGAACTGGAGATGCAGTAATTAAGATAACAAAAGTTCTTGCCCTTTAGTTTATGACTCAGAGGTAGAGTTTTTGTAGTGGTAGATGTTATAGTCTAGTGAATAGGTATACTTGGAATTTTAAGTGTTTGACTTACTTTTCTTTTGATTTACAATACTTTGTTGGGCAGGGATGTAGCTCTGTGGTACACTCTTGCCAAGCATGCATGATCCCCAGCATCAAAACAAAACAAACAAAACATAACAGAAAAACATTACTATTGTTATTTTTGCAAACAGGGAGGTTTTTGCCTGGTTTCCTTGATAGTTCTTCCCGATGAAGAATTTTATTTTATTTTTTTGTAGCAGGGACTGAACTCATGATCTCCCACTTTTCAGCAGGCCCCTGTGCCACTGAGCTGTATCCCCAGCTTGATGAGGAATGCTTGACTTATGACATAAGGCCCTAGGTTCTATCACAAGCACCACGAAAACAACACAGTTTCTTAGATTTGAAAGGGATTTAGTTGTGATAATAGCTTTTATTCTTTTACAGATGAAAAAATTGAAGTGATTTATAACAAATTTACCTATTGCATTACTTAAAGATTAAGAATAAGCTGTGGATCTCTTTCCCTTGTACATTTCCCTAATCACATTCTTTTCAGGGTTAATCAGTGAATCTGATACACAAAAAGTGACATTTTAAAAAGTACAGATGTTGCAGAGTGCAGAGACCAGTATCAGCTGTGATGACTGATTATTCAGAAAGCACACTTTAGTGAAAGACTAACAGTGTACCTGAGTTCTAACCCTGGCTTTTACATTAAAGAAAAGCCACTTACCCCAGGTCCTAAATTCTTTGTCTTTAAAATGAAAGGTTAGACTACTTAATGAGAAAATTTGCATAGTACTTTGAAGTCTTTAAGTAAGATTTACACAGGCCCTGGCTAATAGTGCTCCACACAACCACCTTATATGGATTCCATTTTGATCGATGAGGATTTTGAGAATTACACAAATTAAGCAGAATGTTCAAAGACTATGGACAAAGGAAGGAGAAACAAGCTGAGAACACCAGCCTTTTGACTACACCATCTCCTTTGTTGTTTTCCTAGATAATTATCATTTGAGACCCTGGGCTTGAGGTGAGCCTGATTCAAGTTCGGAAAGATGAGCACAAAAAGTACAGACAGAAAAGGTAAAGACTATAGTTTACCCAGAAGTAAGCCTGTGCACGAAGGAGAAAATGGTTATGGGGAGGAAATGGGTTTGATTATATCAGGAGGCAGCTTGTCTGACAATGAGATAAGGAAAAATGCACGGAAGGCCTTGAATGTCAGGCTAAGGAGGTGGCATAAACTAACCAGCATTTTACTTTTAATCCAGTTGCAGGTTACCGAGTCTGGAGCTTGCCGCTCATTAAAGGCAGTCTTGTGCGTTCACGATGCGGGCCTCCAGCACATCGAGGTAATGAGACCAGGGAGGACAGTGTTCTTTCCTTCTTCAACACTGTCAGGACTTACACAAACTCGTTTCTAACCAAAGGACTAGGTGCATTCCTCTTCTTTTAAAAGAAGCTACCGCAGACTCCGTGAGGCCAAAAGAGGCGCTTTGAAATTAATTAACTCGGGTGTACATTCCCGGCTTTGTCGTTTTCTAATTATGTAACCCAAGGGAAGTCACCTAACCTCACTCCAGCTATGGCTTCTTTTTTCCTAAATTAAGAGTGACAATCCCTACTTGCGAAGTATTTTGTGTTGTAAACCAGGCAACGCTGAGCGCATCAGGCAATGGCGCTTGGTGTAGGTCCAGTCCCCCGCAGATTACCCGGGAGAGGCCGGGGGCGGCCGAAACCTAGCAGCCGTTCCGCCTGGGGCCCGCCGGCCGCAGCTAGGACCGGGCGTCCCCACCATCGCACGGCACGGCACGGGACAGCGCGCGCTGGGCCGGGCCCTGGAGCAGCGGCGCCGGGCCGGCCGGACGCCGGGGACAGCGGCACCGCCCGAGGCCGCAGCGCCCGCCCGCTCGCGCGCGAAGGGGCGCCGAGCCGCGCTGGCCGCGTTTGAAGTCTCCGGCGCGGCCGCCGGTTGGCGCGCGCGGGTCACGTGGTGCGGGCCGGAGTTTCCCCGACAGCTGGCGGCTGCGTGGGCTCCGGCGGCGGCTCGCGAGCTCGCGGCTCGGCCTCCCCGCCCCGTCTCCTCCCCGCCCGCTTCCGTCCGGCTCCTCACCCTCCGTATTGACAAACACCGCGGCCGCGGCTGTGACTCCGGGCAAGCGTTGGCAGCCGAGCCATGGGAGACAAGAAGAGCCCCACCAGGTGAGTGCGCCGGACCGCAGGGCCACACTCCGGGCCGCAGGCCTCGCGCCAGGCACGGGGCCGCAGCGCTCGCCGCTCGGCACAGGGCGAGCACGGGGATGGCGCGGCTCGCAGAGCTTTGCCGCGTGAGGGGCCGGCGCGGCCGCCCCACAATGGAGCCGCGATGGCGGCGGCGCGGGCGGTAGCGCGGGTGTCAGGGCCGCGGCGACGCCGGCGCCCTCCCCCTCCGAGCTTCGCGCTGCGCCGGGGCCGCGGGGCGGGGGGCGCGGACTTGGGGGCGGGGCGGGGCGGGGGCGGCCGCGGGCCTGGGCGCCGGGCGCGGCCTGTGATGACCCCGCGCTGCGTCGTGTCCGGGTTGTGTCCTGCAGGCCGAAGCGGCAGCCGAAGCCGTCCTCGGATGAGGGGTATTGGGACTGCAGCGTCTGCACCTTCCGGAACAGCGCCGAGGCCTTCAAGTGCATGATGTGCGATGTGCGGAAGGGCACCTCCACCCGGTGAGTCCCGCGCCCGGCCCCGCCAGCCCGCCTGCCACACGCGCGCCCCGGCAGGAGCTCGCGAGGCCGGGGCCGGGCGCCGTGGGCACCGGGTCACATTGGTCGCCACCCGCGCCTCGTTTTTCGGCCAGGGTAATTGAAGCGGTGGCGTGATTTTTTTTTATGCTTTTGGGCAGAATAAATTATTGAAGGGAGGCATTAGCCGCTGCGATTCAATTCGTATCGCCGGGTGTAATGCCCCCTCCCCACCCCTGGCATTCGAACGAATGGTGGCCGCATTGTGTTAGGGTGCCAGAACCAAGGAGAGAGCATAGAACCCTTTTTAGAAGCAAAGAATGTAATTTAATTTCAGCCCTGAGGGGGAAAACGTATGTGGTTGTAGAATATGAAGTAGATTAAACTACTTTTTTATGTATAGACGTCTGGAAGAGTCACACTAAGGTTAGGATTTGTGTTTTTAGTCCAGATTTGTAATATTTTATAAATAAGTAGCTGGAGCATAGTCACTGGAACATTTTAAAAAGTATCAGAATTTATTTAGTTTGAGTAAATGACCGTCTACTGGACAAATGAGATAAGATCTCTATTTTTGGTCTTGGGCTATAACTGTCTTTTTAAAAAACCACTTAAATGAATTAAGTGTAATAAAGGATCATGGAGGAAATTTAGTCAGTGGCATTTTTTGATCTCCCAGCACTGAGAGTTCCTTTGCCTTGATAGGAATATAACTGCTTAATTCATTATAGTTCCATGTTTTACAGCTTAATATTTGGATAAGATACTTTGGTATTAGAAGAACTATTAGAATTTCAATTATCACAATAAACCCAGTTATAAATTTACTGTTATTTTAAAAAAGAGAATATAATTTTGACCTTGTTATATTTACTAAAATGTCAAAGCATTCTGATTCTAAGCACCATTTATAAAATTAAAACTTTAGCATTAGAGATGGAATCTCAAAATATTAACATTTTCTCAGAATTTGGAGATTAGCTGCTTTTGACATGCTTGTCTTTGTAAAAAACATAATGTGATTTTGAAATATGAATTTCTGTTTACATTGGATAAAATGTTTTGAACAATTTTCTGATACTCATTCTAAAGCAAGCTTTAAACGTATACTAAATTCAATGGAGGATGAGAGAATAGTCCAAAAATAAAAATAAATTACCTGTTTGCTATTTTTTTGGACCCGTGTTTTAAGTACAATATTTAGGAAAATAGAGCATCTTTGTATAAAGTTGGATTTCATTCAGAGTATATTTATGTACCTACATGTTACTAGTTTGTATTTTTAAAGTGTTCAATACAAAATATTTAGAAAGTTTAAATTTTGGAGGCAGGAACTTTAACATGGAGACAATTATTATAATCTTAATCTCTGGTACTATATTGTTGCTTTTTGTTGTTCCCTCTATTTTCTTATAGCCATTAGAAAAATACTGGAACTAGAAGAGCCTATATGTTTATTTGCAGGGACAGCAAGGAAGGGGGGAAGCTGGTGTCCTCCTCCACAGCCAGACTTGGGGTTAGAGGAACCCTGAGAAATAGAGTAGTAGGTGGTGGCAGCTCAGAAGAGAAGAAACAGGCTGAATACCTGGCACCTGGAAGAAGAAGGATTATAGTACACAGGGGAGTTGGCCCAGGACAGAGAAGTGGGCCTACTTTAAGAGGCTTGAGGCCCATGTGGGGGCCCCTGACATTTTTTACCAGTACATCGAGCTCTTGTAGATCCAAGTTTTAGTGGTGGAGACAGTACTTGAGAAGGACTCAGAGAAGCATTGTCATTTGGATTGAAACTGAAGAGGCTCTGGGCAACTCACCAGAAGTCTAAGGAACACTCTGTTCCTAAAAGTAAGTGTTCTACACTATGACCCTCTTTAGATTTTTCCTTCCTCGTTCTCAATTTTCTCTTCTCTTTTGACTGTGGCCCAAAGTTAAACCTAAGAGCTTTAATTTCACTATTTTCTGTTACTTTCCTACAGCTTAATCTGAAATTGAGAGTGGAATCCAGGTTTGGATAGAAAAATGGAACAAGGCTAATGTTGAATGTGCTGCAAAATAGTTCCCTTCCTGCTAATGTTAAGAAAACAGAGTTGAAGGATGCAAAAGTTTCAGTAGTTGGAAGAAATGCATCTTCATAGCTGACATGTGAATTAGCATTTAGGTAAATTTCAGGGATAATATGGGCAGGAACCAAGATAGGACCTGGGTAGCCACAGAGCAGCAGAATGATAGGGGTTTGCTGATGATTTGTTTGTGTGATCAGCAGTTGGGATGTGAGTCTTCTGGGTCAGACTGACCTCTGAACTGATTTTGTCTGGATTGCAAACTGTGAGGCCAAGTCTAGGCTCCGACATTTGAAATTTTCTTTTCTTTCTAAGCCATCAGAGAAGACTGAGTCCAGGTCTCCCTTTTTCAGTGTTTTTCTTGCGTTTTAAAAGCGTATCTGTTTCACATGTGTTGTATTACAACAGAAGGCCATCGCTGTATCTTTGGCAAGTCGCATCATTCTGTGGACTGGGGTTACATTCATAGTGCATGTATCAGAATAAAATGTAATTTGACATAAATTCAGTTCCTCAACTGATAAATTATCCTTTTAAATTTTTGTGCTGTTTCTATGATTGAGTTTCATTTCTATACTTAGTGGTGGTTTCAGGTAGTTTAAAATTGATTAAACATAAGGTAGATCAAGTACTTGAATTTTTCTGCATTGTGCTTTTGTTAGAAATAGGAATAAATGTGAAACTGACAGGGAACATTTTTAAAAGAACAAAGAATACCACAGTGCTCAGTCTACTTTTTATATCTGATGTTCTTTTTAAGCCAGTGAGTGTCTAAAGTTTAGGAACTTAAAAACCATTCTGAACCATCAGAGAAAATGAAATATTTAGGGAAGTCTGTGTGAACGCGATCAGTATGTGATTGAGTTCAGTTTTTCCTAATTGTCCCTTTGTGTATGAATGGAAAATCACTTTGTTGCTTTAATTCAGGTAGCAAACATTTAGGGATTAAAAACAGTTGTGCTGTTTTGGTTTCAAGCTATGGTCTAAGTGACAATATATTAAATAATATTTAGTCTGTTGAAACTTTCAAGTATAGCAGGTAATGTTCTGTTTTCTCAGGGTGTTGTGATAGTTCCATTAAGTTTCTCACAGGTGACATTTTAGAGAGCTGTGGAAATGATGTCACACAGTACAAAGAACAATGGGTCTTATACTAGGGTCTTTTAATATTCAGCTAGTCTTTACTGAGCATCTTGTACAAAGGCTGACCTAGGTGCTGGATGCATAGCGGTGAGCTAGTAGATGTTTCTTTGCTTCTTCTGTAAAGTTTAATGATTTTCTTGCTAAATGAGAAGCACTTTGAACTACATCAAATATTAGGTATGAGGTAGTATTAAGACATCTTTACTTTAAGAGTGAAACAAAGAGATGAAACTTCTTAAAAAATACTGTTTATAAGTCAAAACAGTTTTAGGGTTAGGATCTGACTATTGGTAAAAATAATTGTTTTGATTTCTATAACATGCAAATAAACTGAAATTCACATTTGAAGAAATGCTGATAAAAATCTTCTCAGGATCATTGTCTGTTTTATATTTTCTTAATGTTTTAAATTTTAGTGTACATACTTATTTGAGACAGGTGTAAACCCTGACTGGTCTTGAACTCAGGACTTTCCTGCCTTGTCTTTGCAGTGCTGTCATTACAGTCATGTGGCACCATACCTAGTCATTATTATTGTCTTGTCATACCTGTTTTTTGTCTTTTAATTTGTAGTTTGGTACAGCTCTTGTAGACTTGGTATGGGGATGGGGGGAAAAAGCGGGAGCCATTTAAGTAAATTGGTATTTTAGAAATTGTTTTTGATCCTTCTCTACCTAGTTGAGGCAGTGCCCTCTTACGTGTCACTCAGAAACTCCTGTTTTTTGTTTATCTCCTGGTTTCATCTTGGATTACTTAAACTAACCAGTTCATTGTTCACAGAAAAATTGTGGTAATGACTAGTTTTGGATAGTCTGGTAGTGGTTTTCAAAGTGTAGATTGACGATTTGTGGGGATCCTGAGGACTCTAGGAGGTCCAAATGATTTTCATAGCAAAAGTAGGCTGTTATCTTGCCCTTTCACTGTATTGACACCTGTAGAGATAATGCAGAATTCAGGGTAGGTAAAACTTAAGTCCTGGCACTTTGCAGTGAATCCAAGTAATGACACCAAATTGCTGGATTCCTTGTAATTCTCACCTCCATGTGTGTGCAGTAAAAATAATGCCAGTTTGACCTAGGAATACCCTTGATAAAGCAGTAAAAGTTACCGGTTTTACTAAATCTCACCAAAATATTGTATCTGTCAAAACAGGGAAGTACATATAAAGCATTTCTGCTACATATGAAGGTATAGTAGTTGATTGTAAAGGTGAGGCAGTGTGTGTTTATGTGACTTGCAAGAAGCATTAGCTATTTTTTTCAAAGATCATCGTTTGTACCTGAAAGATTGGGTGATGAACTGTGTTTATTTGGACTTGAAGGTTTAGCAGATAGTGTTCTGAAAATGGATGGAGTGAATCTGTCACTTTTTGGAAACAATTGACAATACTTGTTGCCAATAATAAAAATCATTCCAGGGAAATCTGAAAATTTTGAAAACTTGTGACTACAACAGAGAACTTTAGAGTTTCTGAGCACTTTTTGTTTGTTTTTTGAATATATTTTCACTTTTAGGTTTTTGAGTTTTTTTCTATGTAAAGACTTTGCTGATATCATTGAATGTAACTTTTTACACTTTATCCTGAAACACATCAACATTTGGAAGATCTGGGTAACTCAGTGAACCAATTTTTCCTAGTAATCAACGTATACATGTTTAATGTGAATTACAAAATACTGAAGAGGTTTAAGGGAACCTTATGAAATATTTGTTAATGTGGTTTCAAACTTCATCCTGCAACTAAATTTTTAGAAACAATTACTTGTGTTTTTTTGAATTATCTGA